AAAAAAAAAAAAGAATACACAAAAGCTTTAGGATCATCCATTTCAAACAAACGTCAGCGATAGTTTAAAAAAAAAGGTAAACATTTAGGAAACATTTTAAAAGAAGAGAAATCTCCCTTTGAGGTGTTCAGTGGAAAATAGTGTGTGGAGCTGCTCCGTTACTTAGTTCCTAAAATCCCAGGCTGGTGGGCTGTGAGGGCTCTGCGCCAAAGGGATCACAAGCACCGCTGGACTTTACGGAGAGCCTGTCGCCAGCCCGCGGCGCACCGCTCCCTCTCCATCATTACCAGCTCTATGGGAACGCTTCTCTGGGCTCTGCGTCCGGTACGGCACACATCCCGAGAGGCACCCTCTGAGGACCGTCTGACACACGGGATGGGAGCACCCTCCTCACGGCAACCTCCAGCTGCCTGGGAGGGCCCCCCTCTGCCACAGCGGCTCGGGGTAGCACCTACGTGCCCGGAGCCTCGGGTGGCAAGACGTGCAGCGGAGCGCGGGCAGGCTCTCCCGATGTAGGAAGGCAGTGCTGGCCCAGGCTCCCCGTGCTGATTGTACCTGAATTCTCCTTCTTAAGGAAATTCTCACTCACGGGAATGTTTTTAGCAGCTTTCCCTTACACTGTTTAATGAACGCTGCTGACAGGGGTTGTGAGTTTTTCCTTGAAAGATGAGGGTTTGGGTTTTGTTTCCCTTTTTTTAGGGGGTTATTTTATTTTTTTAAGCTGTAAAATTACTTTCATATCCCAGAGCACCAAAGTTTTACCTGGAATGCGTGTGTTTGCCTGAGTCTTACAGTGGCTTGTGCACTGGGGTCAACGCTGCTAAACAGAAAAGAGCCAGAGAACAAAATGCTCAGCCCTGACAACCTGCACAGCCTGCTCGTCCTTCGGGATGCTCCGAGGGGTGCTCCCCCAGAATATCCTGCTGGACGAGGGACTAACCCTAAGCAGCACAGCCACAGGGCAGGGCCTGCTCCCTGGACATACCCCAGGGAGGTGAGATTCCTGCGGTGGTTGGATGCTGCAATTTCTCCGCAGGCTCTGGGTTGAATTACACCAGAGCCAGGGCAGGAGGGAAACAAACTTTAAAAACCCTAACCAAGGAGGAGGCTTGCTCTCCGGCGGAGTGGAGGCATTGGGCACTGAAAGACAGCCAGGAAAGGGATTGAGGGAATGCCCAGCTGCCCCGTTGCCCCTTGTCACCAAGGAGGGATATGCCCAGCAAGGCAAGGTACAGCACGGGTATTTGGCAGCTGCAGCTATACCACATCTTTCCGTGTAACAGAGGAGATTCTCAAAGCTGCTGAGTACGAAACAGGGGAAGGGGCTGCTGCACAGGGAATCGAATTTAGGGTGCGTGTGGGGAAGGTTAAAGGAATTAAGGGATAAAAAACAGACAGCACAGGTTGCTGTTTCTTCTTAAAAAAAAAAAAAAAAAAGAAGTGTTAAACCCAAAGCTGGCAAGAGAAATGGATGGGAGAGGAAAGGCAATGAGGAGAAGTCACCCAGAACCAAGCACTGGAAGAGAGAGGATAATCCAGGAAAATGCGGCATGGGTTGCTCTGGAGGAAGGAGGAAGGAGCCAGGAAGAAAGGCGGAAGAGGAGGAAGGGATAAAGGGGACAAGGGCGGACCTGTTGGAGCGAGGAAGATGCACATACACACAAGAAAAAGAAACATCAGGCATTAAAACAACAGTGAAGGTATCGGCTCGGTAGCACAAGCTCAGGGTTTACACTTTTTCAGCTGGGTCCCTCGAAAGGCCGTTGGGTCCCATCTCTGCCTGGTGCCACACAGCGTCTCTGCCCGTCCCCAGGCACAGCTACGCTGTACCCCACCCTGACCAAAGGGCGGCAGGAGCGCCTCTGGGATTAAAAAGCACTGCTCTGCCCAAAGTAACAGAATTTTGGCAAACTATGTGGGAGTTTAACCAAGTGGATCCTCATTTTTCATGTGCTAAACACTGAAAACCTTCGGATTAAAGTGCCATGCATGCTGCTGCTGTTTAAAAGGAGGAGAGGCATTTAGAATGAATGCATCACCCACTTCGAAGAGGCGGGTGTTGCATCCCAGCACCCTGTGGAACAGGTCAGAAGTGGGGAGTTGCCTTCTCTCTTCCACTTCACAGCCGCCTTTTTATTGCTTTTGAAGTCTCCCGGCTGAATCGCTGCCGTAGTTTTGCCAGCAGTTGGGAGAGATTGCCCCGCGCTTGTGAGGAGGTTCTGATGTCCCACTGCAGGGACATCTACCTACCACTCAGCAGGGGATACTGGGCTGCAAAGCAAATCCTGGGCAACTGGCACTGTGTCCGGTTCTGCTAAGCGGTACTTGCCAGGCATCTTGAAAGGGATGGAGGCAACCAGACAAAACAGCTCTGTGAAGGGGACCCTCCAACAGTGTGCCGTTTAACTCCTGTGCGCAGGAGCGGCCTGCTCACGGTTTCTGAGGAGGTGTAGGAGTAGGGTACCCAGATTAAAAACCAACTGAAAAAGTCTGTTAAAGTTATTTTTCGTTTAGAAGCCACAGGAACAAAACGCATCTTAGTGAAGAGGAAGTTAAGAAGCAAAGCCAGAAATGCAATGATTAAAAAAGGGGAGAGCTTTGGAGCGCCCATGAAACTCAGACCTTTCTCCCCTACTTTAAGATGCCAATTGGCTGCTGCTTTCCAAACCTGCCCATTCTGTGCGGGGCAAGGTCAGGAACACATTGCAGAGGAAGGACAGAGAAGACTCGCCATGTATCAAAAGCCAATTCACATGATGAAATCACCACACGGGCATGTGCACTTTGAAACTTTACATTTTCAGAGAAACCTAGATGATAGCAGAATCTTACGAAGAGAAGGAGCTTCTCAACGTGCACTTTCTAGTCACGTTTATCTTTCTGTAACACAGGTGGCACGACAGAAAAGCAGCCATCCACGTTATTGGTTTTGACCCAACTCTTCACCATCGAATCCATCCAGGACAATGCCTGAGGAGACTTCACGTCTGATTCTTTAAAGTAGGTGAATTCAATCTATCTTTTCCAAATTTCCATCTTCCAGATTCTCTGGACGATCTTTGCTAGAGGACAACATTCTTTTCATGCGTCAGGGAGAATTTAAAAGGAACATGATAGGATTTGCTGGCTCCACCTCAGTTAATCCTCACGGGAATCCTTACACACATCAGCAAATACATAAGCAGGATTTCCTAAAACATGCCATGCTGGCCTAACCCTACTACACGTGAAGTCCCGTGCTTCAGTGAGAACAGAGCTATGACAACAATGAACACGTTAGAAAATCCCTCCTATAGCTTTCAGGTGGGTGTACCACAATGTCCCGGGGATTAGACACACTACAGGTATCAAAAAAGACAAGTTTGTAAAGCTACTTATATGAAGCTCTAGCAGACAGAATTGCATGCTAGTGACTCAAGGTTGCCCGGGGATTAGCCGGTCTGTCACGGTGTGAAGATGTTAGTAGCTAAACAGGAGAAGTTGGCCTGGTAACTTACCCGGATTCCTTTGTCGCCAGTTAGACCTTGTAAACCCTGAAATACATCAACACAAAAAGAAATACTTTAAAACCAATAGGCCCCATCGTATTCCTACTCAAAAAGAAGAACGTGCGCCCAGGAGTTTGGGTTTTCCGTTTGTCCCAACTGCTCTATGGTTAAAAAACAAACCCCACAACCAAAACTCTCAAACTTTTCCAGCAGGCCACCTCCTCTTCCCCTCCATTAGGTCATCCAGGCTGTAACACCACCACTACTCCTCTAAGGGTTCTTCAGGTAAAGAAAAAAAATCAAACTAGTTCAAAGAATGCAGTCCCTGAAAAAAGCAGCCAACTCCCTTTCTCATGTTAAACAATGAAGCAGGTCTGCAATTAACATAAAAGCAGAGTTCCAGCACTGGCCCCGTCTTGCAAAAAAGTAAACCCAAACAGTGAATGTAACCTCAGCTGAAGGCAGCTTTGTCACTGCGGTGAAAAGCCAGGGCCCTCTCCGGCAGGCGGGCACCCAAGCTGTGGAAAGGTAATCAACACAGACGCGCTCAAAAGCAGCATTTTGGGCTAAGACACGCATCCTGCGAGTCCCATGCAGCTGCTTCTGGTAGTTTGAGGACCAAGGTGCACTACCAGTTTCTTTTCAGCTTCATCCACTTCATCCTCTCGAGCCTCCGAGCTCGTTCTGTTGCTCCCGATCCTGTGACTTTGGTTCTTTAACACCCAACCAAGCTGAAACTGCAAACGCTGTATGACAGCAGCGGCGCGAGCTGCCGGCCGCAGCAAGGCAACCGGCCCTGTAGGTGCCCAATCCCCGGTATTCCCACACTTACAGGAAGCCCTGCCGGCCCCATTGGTCCTGCAACTCCAGGATCTCCCTTACTGCCCTGAAATGGGGACAAAAGAGGAGAAATTGTTACATTGCTACGGACGAGATACTCAAAAATCAGAGGCGCAGCATTTACAAGGGGAGAGCAGTTCCAGGTCTAGAAACCCCAGAGCTTCTCTGCCCCAGAGCAGTATCTCCAGAGGAGTGACAGAGCATTGGTCACTTCTGAAGCAAACTCACCCTTTCTCCTTTTGGTCCTGCCGGTCCTGAAACCCCGCTTGGTCCTGGAGTACCCTGTAGATGTAGGAAGGAAAACACATCAGGACGGTTTTATTGCCGGGCCTCGTGAAAGCCAGGAGGCAGTGCTGCTCCTTTAGGAAAAAGCCGAGCTGGGAAGGACAGTGCGGTGGCGGAAGGCATCTAGCACCGCTACAGCTTTCAGTGTTGGCGGCGATGGATTCGAAGCAGTCGCTACAGGCCATTCGAAGGACACGGCACTGCTATGTTAGATCGCACCAGCGGCGTTTTACAGAGCCTTGTGTTTAATTTTGGAGCTCGCTCCTGACAATTGCTCCAGCAGGCGTTTCTACCGGTTCCACGGGAGGGCATTTTTTTCTCGCTAGTTTATCTCAGACAAGGCTGAAAGCTGTAGCAGAATAAAGGCCCCTTAGATGCATGAGAAGCAATTTTCTTTATTTCCTTCTTTTCTTTTTCCCTGCCCTGGAGTCAGCTGAGCTGAGCAAAACTGACGGAGTCTGGTTACGGGGTGGCAGGCAGCCAGCCATGCAAACTGAAAGACGCCATGCTGCGGGGGTGAAGGCCGACGCGTACGCGCACGCAGGCAAACCAAGAGGGGAGGATCGTTCGGCCCCTCCGTACCCTTTTTGCCGTTTACGTCACTCTACCAGGCTCCCAATCACGCTAAGGGGAAACCCCAGACTGCTCGCTAACCCATCGGCGCGGGGGCTGTCTCCCACTAGCACTCCCAGCTTACTGCCCAGCGCTGCCGAGACCTGCTTCTGCCTTCGGGAAACTAACCCAACCAAAGCTTATCTTCCACGTGGGCAACAGGGTGGCTAGGCAACACCCCATAGGTCCAAGCGAGAGATTCAGGCACTTTCAACTCTGCGCAGACTCCCTGAACTTGCTGTGGATTAGCCCCTGTTGGGGGGTCTCTTACAGCTCTTCCGGACCACATTCCGCCGTCTAGATAAAGTACAGCTTTCCATTTACCTTCCTAACCCTACATTTACCTTCCTAACCCTACACCAGATACTCGTAGCTTGGCAAAAACATTGCTAACCACGTAGGCATTGATCTACAATCCCTTCGCGGAGCCTCAATGCTTTTGAGGCCCGTTACCTGCCTCCTAGGAATAACAAAGGAGGAATCTTCGAACAGGAAAATCTTTTTCTAACAACCTTAAGGAAAAGGGTCTTGCACTGTTTAATGCGAGCATGGACTCCTCAGTCACTAGAGTAACCCCCCCGGTGTGAGCGGGATGGCTCGCGTGGCTCGGGAGAGCTAAGGTCTGCAGAACGTAAGCGGAGAAGAAGCTCATGCAGCACGCAACTCCAGCGCGGTGAAGGAAGTGAGGAAAACCAGGCTCTCCTTAGATTCGTGCTCAGGAGTTCACACCATGGAAATCTTAATTGCCTGCTCATATGCATCGTCTTAAGATCATTCAGTGCCATGACATACGTTGAGACCTGCACCTTTATAAAATTAAACCTACAATTCCCCCAAACAAGCTGCCGTCCAGGTTCTGTTCAGAAGTTAGAGCAGCTGAATTATTTCCAGTTAGGCTGAGGAGGAGAAATTGCTTTCTTTTTCTTTTTAAATAGCCAAATGGCTTGTACACGGGTGACGCACGGTTTCCCAAAAGGGAGTAAAAATATTTGGCCCTTATTTAACAGCTGTTGCCCTCGAACAGCAGAACGGTTTGCAGACCCAGCTTAGCGTGACTTGTCTCATTCTGAATTTGACAGGCTGAGAAGCTCAGGCACAGAGTGTATTTCCTGCACATCCTGCCGTGAGTTAGCAACATGAGGTAGGAATCTTGCGTCTTCCTGCTCCGCCATTAGACGCCGCTACCTCTCAGGTGTAAATACTGGAGCAGAACGCACCCCACCGCCCCCACCCCCAAGTATCTGGGACTGAGGGAAGCATCCCCAGAGGTGCAGAAGCTGCGTGGCATTCTGCTGCTGAGAGCTGAAGGGCTAGTCCTGCTTGCACGAGGGCTTTTAGAGGCACCTTCTCCTCCTGGCGAGATGCTTGCCAGGCCACGGAGATACCTGTACCCACGCCAAGGCAGCCCCAAGTGCCGTGTGTGGAAACAACGCACAAAGCTTTTTGCTCACAGGACAAGACACACCAGCATTATGATGCCCAAGACAACACTGAAGGGCTACTGTCGTGAAAAGATGGCAAGCAAGGCTACCATGGGGAACGACAGGACAGAGACCCCCCACAATACAGAGGACGGGAGAAGAGAGCGTCATGGAACCATGCAGAGGTTTCATTCGTTCATCTTGTTATTGAGATAAAGTGGGACAAGTAGGCTGTGAGCCCGGAATCCAGACAGGCCCGTTGCATCAAAAACAGACAAGCGTGTGACATCACTTCTCAGGCTAAGTTTAACCCCCCTCCCCAGCCTGTTTTGGAGAAAAGAAGGTTATTGCTGGTGTAAACAAGACTCTGGTGGGAGAGACGAGACAAATCACGATACTGGGGAGGAGGAAGGTAGGGTAATGGAGAAATGGAACTCACCGGTGGTCCAGGCCTGCCGTCTAAACCTGAAGCACCCTGAACAGACGGGGAGGGTTAACAAAAACAAGGCAAGAGGAGAGGGGAGGAGGGTGAGGGGGAAAGGAGAGGGGAGGGGAGAGGTGAGTGAAGCAGTGACTTGAGACAAACATACGCTTGCAATAAACAAAAATTAAGATCTCAAGGACAGGTGATACTTACAAGCAAGCCAACAAAAACACAGAAACACTGAATACATATAACATTGACCTGCAACTTTCAGATCCCCTTGAGAATGCAAACTTCCCCCTGCCTGTGCCGCCAAGAAAACCCCTGAGGAAGAAGCCGCTCTGTGTCACGTGACGGAAGGGACAACGTGACAGCGAGGTTGAAACCTGCTCCGCCTTTTTGGCAGGCTGGGCAACCCCGGTGAGGCACGAGGCTCAAGGGCTCCGAGGGCCGTGGTGGCGGAGGCGTTTACAAGCAGTGCAGAAACCATCAGCCGCCCAAGTTCCTACCGAGAAACCCAGGTCCCGTAGGTGCACGCTTAGTCAGCTGCGGGCTTGCTCCACTCTACACCCAGTTGTTTGGAGGCTTATAAAAACACAGTCTTCCTGCGTCACCGGTGCAGGTTTACACCAGATTGAGTTTAAGTGGCACTTTTCTATCCGTGTGGCCCTGAAATTCCTCATCCATGAGACCTTACAGCGGTTCTGCCCACGGCCCACCGAGCCTGGTGTCTTGTCTCTGCCGGTGGCCAGGAGAGAAAGCTTTGGTAGAATGTAAGAACCAAACACTTGATTTTTCCTCCACTGGAGTGCGACAGATTCCTTAGCTTGTCAACGTACGGAGAAGCCCAAGGCCACTGCAGACAGTCAGTGCTGGAATTCTGGCATGATGTCAAGCCTGAAGTCACACATGAAAAGGCAGCAGTTCCAGCTGTGAGTTTTTACAGTCTGTCTTTGAAATATCTCAGTACCTGTTTGGCATGGCATGGAGTTTGACAGGCTGAAAACACACTGGATCAGGCACAGAAAAGCTTATAAAGAGAGTTAGGCAGCTCTGGGGTGGGATGCAAAGTCCACAGTCTCTCTCTGATCTTCCTAACAGGGATCTGCATGACGGAGCACAGGCCGACCAAGTCCTGCGGCACACAAGATGTGCTCTGCCGTGCTTGTTTCCAGGCAGAACGCTCCGCAAAGGGGGAGGCTGTGCTCCGACACCGGTGCCTTCTATGAGGAGAGCACTCGGGGCTGGCAGAGCAGCTGGATGGGACTGAGTTACCCCGAACGCGTTGTCAGCTGTCGGCTCAGCCAGAGGGTGAAGAGGCTTTTAGCAGATGTGAGCCACGAGCTTCACAAAGTCTCCAGGTTTGTGTCTAAAGCTCCTGTAGCATCTTCATAATGCTACCAAAATTCCTTCTTGCTATGGAAAGCAGCACGTCATCACTGATCTGATGTGACAGGGTTCACATCCAGCAGGGAACACAGCAGGCTTGTGCCGGATCAGGGGAAGCAGAAGTGACAGGAAGGCGTCGCCTAGCAAAGAAGCTGGATGCGTTCAGAACCACCAGGCTTTTGTACACAGCCCGGGTGACAAACTGCTGGGAAAGTGTTTCCTTTTCCACACCTTTGCCTTCTGTTTCCGGTCCTGCCCCATTGCCCTGAAGGGCAAAGGACCCACGAAAAGCCACTGCTTGTTTTTCCCAATCCTGCCAGAAGCAGGAAGAACTAAAGTGATCACTGATCTATTTAACAGCCCTAAAAGATGAAGGTTCTGTATAGAAACTGAGGCTTTAAGTGTAAAAAGCACAGTTATTTATAGAGCATCTCTTTCTTTGACTTTACATATCAAATCCCTGAGTGTGTCTCCTATTGAGGGATCTTTTTACAGCTGACACAAGTTTGGCTCATAAAGCACTGCTTGCTTCCTGAATACTTACGGGTAATCCCAGTGGCCCTCTGTCTCCTTTTTCACCCTGGGCACCCTTCTCTCCTTTCATTCCATCGAGCCCTGCTTCCCCCTAAAGGAAGGATGGAGCAGAAAATAAACCCACCGTAACACCACTTATATAACAGACATTCCTCTCTCCAGAGCGCACCGAGGTGGTGCGGGGAATACAAGAGGCAGCAGAGCAACGCTTCGGTCCGAGTCTCGGCCCATTCCGAAGGAAACCGGTGCCGGTCACCTCCGTGTGAGCACCTGTTATAAGGCAGCAAGAGGAGACTCGGGCCTGGGGGTGGGAAGATGGCCAAGGGGGAACTGAGCTCACCTCTGTTCACCAAAGCTTTTTCTCCCCCCTACTCCTACTCATAAGGCATTTTAAACCACCACCTCGGTTGCATTTTGAAAGAGACGTGTCAGAAGACCCAGGTTTGCAGAGAGACAGCGAGCCTGCTTGGCGTACTCCGGCAGGAGAGCACTCTGCGGGCTCGCTCTACCCGCACCCCCGTCTCCATCATCGCTGCCCGATAGCGCGGTCTGGCTCGAGCACGTGTCTGGAAGAGTCACCTATTCCTGACACGTCTGCACAAGGTACAAAACATTCTTCCTCACCACTACTGAAAGCCTCATTAGGAAAACAGTATGGATCGCAGGGATGGAACCAAAACTTCCACATTCGGGACATTGCACCTGCTAAGTCTATACGGATCCACTGTTCCAGGGGAAAACTGGCGCAGTGCTTCCTCTGAAATCCAGTCTACGCCGTGCAAGACTCTCTCCTGCGCTCATCTGGCACATATTCCAAAGGCAACAGCATCTTACGGAAGTTTCCCAGTGGATAGCAGTGGCCAGTGAGTTACAGTCCAGACCGATAACTCTATCTGCAATCAATCCCCGGGGAAAAGATGAATCGGGATAAACACACCACCCCCTTCAGCACCCAGATAGCGCTGCTGGCCAAATACTAAGCCTAGCCAGGGGTCACTTTCCACATTTTCCAATCTTTGCCAAGGCTGTCAGGGGAAAAACGCAGCTCTCCTCGAACACTCCCACTCAGTGAGTTTTTTGACCTAGTTGTACTGTTTTACTGCGGGCAAACCAGTGGTGCAGGCTGAGCATAAACACGCTTAGGCGGAGGATAGAAAGATTCTAACCACCAAGAAAAGTGAAGTTCTGGTGGCTTTACAACATAATTTACATGGTATACACCTGGCTAATTTTAAGCTAGAGCTCAGTGGTTTAGGATTGTGTGACAGGCTGTCCATCCCACCATACAGCCCTCCAACCTTCAGACAACAATTCCAGCTATGTTCTCACGGGAAGATTTCCAAGGGCCAGTGGCTTCCCACTTCTCCGGGTGAAAACTGGAGAAAACGACCCAATTTCTGGGTCCTGAAACAAGAACTACTGAACCATTTCCTTCAAGAAAATATTCACAAGTGTTTGTCCTCTCAGCGAGATGGTAAATAACACTGGCAAGCTAGAAAGCTAAACGCCAGGGAGAGTGTAGCAGAAGTTCGGGATGTAATGTTTTGCAGCCTTACCTTCGGTCCCGGGAGGCCCTGAAGACCCTGCATTTGGGACGAGACACAAAATATCAGTAAGGTTTAAGGATGTGCTTTAAAATCCAGGTATCCCAGTCCAGTGCTTTCGCTTTCTGACACACAGAGGGCACAAGCGCTCAGCCCAGAGGCCTCTTTATTTGTGTAAAGGGCACTTCACGTACCGTTCTCATCTGGTAATGAGGAGGCTCTGGCCAAGAACGACCTGGCAGTGGGCCAGGCTTGCTATCAAGACCATTTTTGCAGTTGATCCCTTTAATCCCATCCATCCCCTCTTGCTACTGTCTTCCCTTTCATCTCAGACTAACATAACCTTCTCTCTTACCTCCCCACCCCATCACAGCTCTGACCTGCCCTGGGGGGTGGTTTTGGAAGTGATACCAGGCATGTTCCTGCTTCAATGCTGCGGTCTTTCTGACCGTTTTCTCCACCCAGAATCCTCCCCAGCCACTTCTCACTCTATCCTCATTCCCAGCGCCTTGCCCACCAGGTGTAAAACTTACTCAAAACTTACCGGAGGTCCTGGTGGGCCTTGGGGGCCAGGGGGGCCAGATATCTAGAAAGCAATGCAAGAGAAGTCACCACCATCATCTGCTGCGTTCGGCGGGTGAAGGGAACTGCTGAGCAGGGGGCCATTAGGGTACAGCTGAGCTCTACCAGGCTTGGAAACCTGGCTTCCCCCCAAGGAATACGCTAGGAAGTGGCAGCAATCCAGGCCAGAGTGGCTGAGAAGCTGCAGCAGGACTCTGGGAAGGGCTATGCAGCAGTTGCAGAGATTTAGGGGAAGGAGAGCAGTGAATTTTGTTTTTCAGAAAAAGGATCTCTTCCACTACTCCACCACTGCTCCTGGGAGGTGGCACAAGGTCAACAGCAAGCAGCAGTTCCAAAGGACGGGAGAGAAGGTGGATGGCTCCACACACGCAGACGAGTGTATGGATAGCCTGTGGGACTCCTTGCTGCAGGGCAGTACCAAAGCTAGGGGTGAGCTTTGAGGGGAGAATGGACAAACTCATGAACCCGAAATCTTTTGAAAAATATACAGATACAGGCAGGTATGGTTCAGGAAATGTCTTCACCACAAGTGACAAGGAAAATATTTGTCATGCTTTGCATCATCTTCTGTTCTTCCCTAGGCATTCATTATTGATTGCGTGCTGTGAGCTACAGTGCTCTTGTATAAGGGAGAAGTAGGGCATCGGGAGCTGGAAGTGGTTGGCAATTCAGTCCCACAAGATGCGGGACCTCGATGAAGGGGGTGTCGTAAGTGGGTGGGATGGGCCGGTTTGCAGCAGCATCGCTGCCAACTCATCCCTCCCCTACTGCTGAGACTGCAGAAGGAAAATGAGAAAGGTGACCTACCGATTGTCCCGGATTTCCTTTGTCTCCACGTTCCCCAGGCTCGCCCTTCTCTCCCTGCACACAACAGACCCTGTCACCACCACCACTTTGCCATTCCCCAACAGCAGCCTGACGCCTCCCTGCTGCCCCACAGCCTCTGAGGGAGGGAGCACGGCCGGCGCGTTGGCGACAGCGCCGTGCTGCTGGCAAACTAGGCATCTCGGCTCGCTCAGCCACGCAGGCTCAGCTGCCAGAGCCGGCACCTCCGGAGGGTGATGGGAGCAGATGCCCAGCTGGCCCCTGCCTGCTGCTGGAGACCCAGCCTGACGGACATCGGGTGACATCCCGACACCTCACCTTAAGGGTAGGGGACCGAGGTGCCCGAGGTACTGGGTGCTTTGGGAATTGAACCCTCGCGTGTTGCCCTACACTGTTTTCTCTTTGCCAAGCAGGGAAGAGTAGCCTGTCTTTTTCACTCTTACTGTCAATCCTGGAAGTCCGATGGGGCCTGGCAATCCTGACGGTCCTGGCATCCCTTGGTCACCTCGTTCGCCTTTCTCTCCACTGGGGCCATCAAGACCCTATGGATCAAGAAAGATTTGTGGATTTTTTGCAAGACTAAGTCAGGCAGACGCACGAGACATCATCGCAAGAGCTGAGGCTGGCTCCGGCCACCCCAAGAATGCACTGAAAACCCCAGACAGACATCAGGTGCCCAGGGAAATGTTTCGCTAGTATAGAAACCGGATGCGCAAACGCCTGAACATCCACCTGTCACGGTGCATGCGCCAGGCCCCAGAGTCAGGGTGAAGACTGCTTTCCCGCCTCCGAGCTCGGCTCACCGTTACTCAGTTTGCTGGGGTCGGTGCTAGAAACCATTCCCCAGTAACCAGCTGTTGGGACAGCAGGAGTTTTAGCCTAGTAACCTTGCAGAGAGGCACGAACTCCCTGCGTAAAGCCCTCTCAACTGGTGCTGGGGACATGGGAATTGTCACAGGCTGAAGCTGGGAGACTGGGCACTCTGCCCCGGTCAGTGGCAGGGATGTGAGGGGTTACCCCATGCTGGGGTGGGGTGTGCTGGTACCTCAGCTGCCTTGCTCACCCTCAGGCCTGCTTGCTCGCAGCAGCGTTTCAGTTTAAGCAGTATGCCAGGCAGCAAGCTGAGGAAGTGACGCAGTGCTCAGAGAGCAGGGCAGGAGGCTGGGGACAGCCACTCGGGCAGGATGGACCACACACCTGCCAGACCTCGCTTCTCTATCGGTACGCTTCATACAGCAGCCATGAGGCACCTCCAGCACTCAGGGCGGAGGGACTCCAAGGTATCCGAGAAGCCCCAGGCCTTGCCCCACAACCTGGATAGCCAGCAGTGCTCCAAGAGGCTTCGCTTTACTCACCGGTGAGCCGGCTTGTCCTGGCTCCCCTTTATCGCCCTTTTGTCCTGTGACTCCTGGTTCTCCCTTTATTCCAGGTGGTCCATCCTTTCCCAGCAGCCCCTGAGGGCCAGGGGGGCCTATTTCTCCAGGCTTGCCGCGTGGTCCCTAGAAGAAACCCACACAACACAGGGTGAACCACTGATAGATAAAAGTTCCTCCTGCAGAGCAACTCCCTGGGCCCGGGGCCTCACTCACTGCTCCTCTCACTCACGTAATGCCACCTGAGGAGTCCCAGGCAGGACAAAGCGCGTTTGCCACCCCATCCCAGCTGCTCCTCCTAAGTCAGGACTTTGATAAACCGCTAACGTTCCTTTTTTGTGAAGCAAAGTACTTTCTTTTCCCCTGTGGGAAAAGCAACTGTGCAATGTCAGTGACAGAGATGGCACATACTAACTCCAGGTAAGACCCCTGAAGGAAAGGGCAATCGGCAGCGGCACCGTGTCGTACCTTTTCACCGTCGTGGCCTGGAGGACCTGGCAAGCCGATTTCACCCTGAAACACAAAATTGTTACTTTGGCGGTTTGAAAGCAGCTATTCCGACCCCTCCTGCCCAGCCCTGTGATGACAAAGGGTGGGCATCGCAGAAGGAAAACCCTGCTGAAACAGTACCTCATGTGACTTCCTACGAATGTCACCGTCCTTGTTTATCCTGACTGATAGTTCACGGCCCCAGTGCCGTAACATCAATTATCTTTATAATTATAACATCAACCAACACAATCCCTGCAGAGACCGGTTCCCATAAGCTGCTTCCTAAAGCAGAAAGGATCCTTCATCTTTCAGATAAGGCATTATCATTGTGGGAAAAGAGATTTTTTCAGGATATTGTCCATGAGGAGGAGTGGGAGAGGCCAGCAGGACAGTCTGATAGTGCTGGACAGGAAGACTAGGAGCACTGGGGAGGGTTGGGGGTGGGGAATTCTGCCTGGACCTCTCCTGTGTTTCCTTTAGCTCTGCTGAGCGGAGCAAATACCTTCTGTCCCGGAGGCCCTGGAGGTCCAGCCACACCTGGAAGTCCCGGGGGTCCCTAGATAAAGAAGAACTCATTTTCAGATTATCAACAGGGCTTTCATATTCATGTTTTGAAACCAAACAGCTCTGACTCCAAGGGAAAATCATTGGGAATTTTCCCAGGGGTTCCTAAAATTGTATCTGCTTGGGAAGCCAAGCGATGGAGAGTTCTGAGCAAGCAGCAGGCCTGTCCAAAGGGAGTTGTAGATATGTATTTCATTACGTTTTCGTGGAAGAAAATGCAAATGGTCACAGCTACCTGCTCCTGAAACAGAGACTAGCAAGGTTTTCCCTTCTTATCTACAGAAGTAAGTTTTTAGGACAGAGAGAATAGGAAACACGGTACTACTTAGATCAGTTTAAGCAGAGCTAAATGGCACCGGTGTTTTGAGCAGAGATCACTCTTGGCAGTTACCACTTGAAGGAGATCGAGGGAGCAGTTTGACCTAGCAAGTGATGCCGCTCACACCCATTTTGTGCTGCCCTGCCATACTGCATTTTAAAAACCCATCCTCTTCCCTAACCAGGTTTCCTGTCCTAAGAAGCAAAATACAGGGACACTTTTTTTCCCTTAGTTTGGCTCAAAACAACTACTTTGACTTTTTGTCTTCAAAGGGCTTGTAGTCACCACTGTTTCAAATGTTTAGATGCTGTTTTGTGGACTCTTCTGTCAAGTTACACTTATCAATGGTGAAAATATGTCTTCCCCTCACATCACAGGAAGTTCCCACCACAGACTGCCAGGATAAGTTTTCATGCAAGGCACCCGAAACCTCCTTTTTCGCTGCTTTGGTCATCCCCTGTGCTCTTCCCTGCCCGTTCTGAGCACCCCCTGTTCTGAGCAGCATGTATTACCGCTTAAAGCAGAGAAATAAAGGGCCTGATTAGAGTTCAAGCGCCACGGTCGGAAGGCAAGATGAGCTCTTCCTTCAGCTGTCGGCTGCCCCAACTTTAGCTCCCAACAGCAAAGGCCAAATGCTTTAGCTGCACCTAAACTGTCAGGCCATCTGCTCAGGATGAACATATGGCTATTTGCTTAAAACCACACGGCGAAGCTAGGAACTCACCATCAAGGCCAAAGTTCGTATTTCCTAGAAAAAAAGTAAAAATAAAATAAATAAAGAAAACAGCCATTTGAAAACTAAGTTTTTTGCTGGAGGTGGCTTGCTCTCCAATCATATCACACTGGCACAAAAGAGCGAGGAGGCTACAACATGAACAAAAGCAGAGAGCCCAGCTCTGCGTTCCCGTGGAGCTGTTATTCCATGGTTTCCCCGTACGCCAAGGAGAACCCAGGCTAACCCGGAGCTGAGCACAGCTGCTTGCTCCCCGCAGACCATCGGTGCACGCTGCCGAGGAAGCTTTTATCTGCCCTCTACCCCAAATCACAGGCCAGTCCCGAGGGGATTCACAAGACCTCGACACCCACCAGCGTTAATCTCCCAGCTAACCAAGGTGATTTGCCCAAACACTGTATGCAGGGAGCTGTGGGATGAAGGGGACTGTGGAACAACCAACTACTTCATTTGGCTGCCGCTGCCGAGGAAGCAGACCTACATTGTTCCCAGTTTTCTGCATCCTCTGGGAAATGGTAAAGCTCCCAGCAGCTGCCTCACGGGACAGGGGGGCAGATGCTCACCTGGAGAGCTTCACTGATGTTACCATCGTAGTCCATCATTTCATCCTTCCCAGGCTCTCCTTTGGGGCCCTGTAAAACACCAGCTCTTCAGCTGGGGCTTGGGGATCGCCCTTCCCGTGGGGTGCTCGGGGCTGTGGTTCACCTGAAAAAGGGGTCTCAGAGGGGAGATCTGGATCCTCTGACCGACTGTCAGGCTTGGGCATGCACCAGACCCCCTCCGGCTACCCTCTGCTGACAAGCCAAGGACTGGGATGTCCAAACCCACTTCCTCCCACAAATGAGCCAAGCATTCACCCTGAGGTGGCTCGGAAGACAGGGGTGTCTTCTGATGAGGGTATGGAGTGGAGAAACGGCCTGTCTTAGACGTAGCCACTGCCACCTACGAGCACTTCTAGTGACGGTGAGGAAAGCGGAGGCCCAACGCAGACTGCCAGTGGGGTCCCACTATCCTTACCCCCCTTTGAAGGGCCAAAACTCTTCAAGGACACCTACCCTTGGGCCCACAGGGCCCTGGTTGCCTGGTGAACCCGGTTCCCCCTGTAACAAGAAGAACATGCTGTTAGGAAAGCTCATCCCTTCACTCACTCAAGCTCTAGGAATTGTTGTTTTCTGCTAGTCCCCAGAAACAGCCTGGGACACAGCAGCTCGGTTTTAAAAAGCCCCTTTTCAGCTAAGTTCTGTGCACACAGGAACAAATCTGCAGCTACCGAACCCGAGCGGGGTTGGGCAGGAGCACTCTGTACCTTTTCCCCCCGTGGCCCTGCAGCACCAGGCCGGCCAACGTCACCAGCTTCTCCCTGGGAGAAAGAGAAAGGGAAAGGGATGGATTTGGGCTGTGGGGAGGGGGTGTGACTCCATCACTGGCTTTGCCTTTCCGGGAGGGAGACCTGCTCCAGCCACGTGCCCCTGCCATGCCCACATCTCGGCAGGTAACCCAAATCTCCTGCCAGCTGCCCTTCCCTTCTACCCAGGAGTGGTCAGCATGAAGGAAAGCACTCAATTCAGACCCAAACTGCCAGGGAGGGCTGTTCCAAGTACATCTGAGCCAGGACCTCAGATTCGAGTGTTCTCCATGTCCTTTGCCAAGGGACAGGATTATTCTGCTGCTGTTTGTTGAGGGGGTAGAAGAAGAAGGGGAGAGGGGACTTGGAAGGCCTCTGTCCTGCCCCCTCGTGTCCACCCTGCCTTGGGTACCAGGAGCTAGAGGCTGTCCCTGACTCTGAGCGACTGGTTTCTCACAGGGCCCAGAGAAGAGGTATTTCAGTACAAATAGCATTTTTTATAATAATAATAATAACAACAATGATAATGATAATAATAATAAAGCACAAAATCACATTTGAGACTTTTTACAAGGGCCTGTAGTGACAGGACAAGGGGTAACGGG